TGGAGAGATGTCACAGGAAGATCGGGAGGACGAGCAGAGGGAGGGGGCGAGAAACCAGCGCGAAGGACGTTGCGGAATTGGGAGGCGGATGGTGGGATTGATGATGACGATGATGGTGGCGATGGCGACGACGATGACAGGTAGGAGGAGGAGGAGGAGGAGGAGGAGGAGGAGGAAAGAAGGACCGAAGGAGGGGAACAAGAGGAGGGGAGCAGGATGAAGAAACGTAGTATATCATAATGTGTGATGGCATGTGCTAAGTGCGGTGGCCCGCGCGGGCCCCGGCTCGTGGTGCCTCCACGTTGCAGTTGAGCGCGTGCAGCGTTTCCGCCCTGCCTCTTTGAACGTTGAAGCCATGACCACGCTTGGGCGAGTGCAGGGGCACGTGCCACACATTTTCAATCTGTGCATGTATTCGCACGTGGGTGTCCCGAATGTGTGAAGGATCACGCGGCTCTGCGAGATGTCGGACCTCTGAGAGGGGGCCTTCTCTTTCCCCCTCGGAGCCTCCTCCTGGGTCTCTGGTACCCTCCTTCCCCTCGGGCACCTCTCGGGCGTCTTCAGGCCGTTTGTGTTGGGAGGGTCGGAGGCCTTCGGGGGCGCCTGAGGCCGTGGTCGGTGCATTTGGTCCGTGGAGACGGGGCTGGGGTCGTCTACAGACGAGTCGGAGATGGATAGACCTCCTACCCTGACACGTCGATTAAGGAATTGGCCGTTTTCGGTTCGCGAGAGGGCGTCGCGGCCGTCATTGTTGTCTCAGGCCGTTTTCACTAAGGGGAGGTTTACTAAAGGGAGGTTTATCCACCGCAGAACGAGGCCGACGGACGGGTCGACCTCAAGGGTGCTCTGCTGTGCCCTGGTGTGCTCGCGACCCCGTGCCCTCCGTGAAGTTCCTGCGGCAATGCGGGGTGCTCGACCTGAGCAGTGTGTTGGCGATGTGTCGTGGGCCGCTTTCGTTTTGGTTCCGCTGTGACAAACTGAGTCAGAGGTTGACAGACCTCCTACCCTGACACGTCGATTAGCGAATTGGCCGTTTTCGGTTTTCGAGGGGTCGTCGCAGCCGTCATTTTTGCGGGTCCAGGTCGTTTTCACTAAAGGGAGGTTTACTAAAGGGAGGTTTGTCCACCGCCGACTGAGGGACAACGGAAGCAAACAGAGACGAAAAACATGATTCGGGTCGAGCTTTGTGGCAATGTGGCCATCGGAAGGGTCTCGCGTCCTCTCGCACGTCCTCTCCAATGGACCCCGACCGCAGGGCTGGTCTTTGGCCGTCTCGGGGCTGTCCTTGGCCCCTCCAGTGGGCCTCGCTGGGCCTCGCTGGGGCGCCTTCTGTTGCAGCGCAGTGGCCGTGTTGGGAGCATTTTGGCATTTGTTTTGGATCGAGTCTCAAGCAGGGCTTGACCTGAACTGTGGTTTGTGCGATGTCGAGGACCGTTTGCGTTGCGGTCTCGTCTTGCAGCAGAGGCGAGACGAACACAGAACGAGGGATACACGAAAACAAGAGGAGACTGGACTAAAGAACATGTAGGTCGAGCCTTGGTCTCTGGCGAAGAGAGGAAGAGAGGCTTCGCGCTTCGCCCCGTGCAGCATCAAAGGAGCGTCGACGATGGGACCGGAGCGGAGAGATGCGGTGTACAGTGGAGGTGGTTAACAAAAGCAGAGAAACGAACAACGGACCCACCCACCCTGCAGGCCTCCTCGAGTTGCCCCGCAGGAGCGACGCGTGCGCGCACGCGTCTTGCAGGATAAGTTCTGTGGCGGGCATGCTTTGGTCACTCCGCTTGGATAGCGGCGTGGCGTGAGACATTTGACCTACATGTGATCGTTTCCTTATGCATTGTTTTGCTGCTCGGCGCGGCCCTCGCACCCCCCATCCCGTGCCAGCGACCAGAACCACATGCCGGACACAGCCTCCTGAGGCCTCCTGGGGCCTCCCCGGACTTCCTGGGGTCTCCTGGAGGCTCCTGGGGCCTCCTGGGGCCTCCTGGGGGTTCCTGGAGCCTTAGGGGCCTCCTGGGACCTCCTGGGACCTCCTGGGGCCTCCTGGGGTCTCCTGGGGTCCCTGGTGCCTCCTGGGACCTCCTGGGACCTCCTGGGGCCTTCTCGAACCTCCTGGGTTTTTTGAGGACGCCTTGCTCCTTTGCACTTCCAAGGACATCCTGGAGCCTCCTGGTGCATCCTGGGGCCTCCTGTGGTCTCGAGGGGTCTTCCGGGGTCTCCTGGTGCCTCCTGGAGCATAGTGGAGCCTCATGGTACCTCCTGGGTTGTCATGGCGTTGCTCCTTTGTTAAACGCAGCTATGAATGAACATGTATAAACATGTGCATATTGAAAACAGAAATATATAAGATAAGTGTATGTATGCACGCCGCTACTTCTGTGGGTGAGTATATATATATATATCGATATATATATATATATTGTTTCCTTGCGTATGCATACATACAGGTGTGTATCAATGTACACATATTCACACACGTAAATTCATGTGTAACTATAGATGTTTGCACAGGCATACCTATAGTACTGCATACATGTATGCGCTGTAAGTTTGAGTAAATGCAGATAAATGTACATACGTACACACATATACACTAAAAACCATACGCGCCTGAAATGCACACGCAGGCCTCGCCACGGAAAATGGTCAGAACTCCAAGAGCCAGGGGCGAACTACACACGGATAGTTTAGCACATGTATAGTTTTAGATCCGCCAGCGTTAACATAGGGCATCTACATACAGTCAACCAATATATATATATATATATATATACATGTTGTTGCACACGTATTTATAGTATTGCATTCAAGCATGCGCTGTAGGTCTGAGCAAAACTGCACGCAATCATTCCTGTGTGTATATATACACATACAAATACAGAGGTAGACACAACAAGCCACATGCGCCTGAAATGCAAGCGCAGGCCTCGCCACGGAAAACTGTCAGAACTCCGAGAGCCCGGGGCGATATGTGAACATCCCGACTCCTATCGCCACCGGGGAGGGCCGTACATTCATAGAAACGAAGAACGCACCGACTGTTTTCATCAACAAGTGTGCCCTTGCCCATTCTCACAGCTAGGAGAACCGCGGATGCTCCAGAGGGTATTCGAACATCCTCGGTGGGTAGCTGACGACGCCCTTCCGCGAGGCCAGTGGGGCATCCCCGTTTCCAGGAGGCCTCTGGCAGATGGTTTCGCATGAACATTTGGGAATGATGACGAGGAGGAGGAGGAGGATGGAGATAATATACAAGTGATAGACGGGGAAAAGGGTGGAAGGAACCCCAGGAGGTCCCAGGAGGTTTTTCTGGTGCATCAAGGGGCAGTGAGGTGGGAGGGGGAAGAGGAGCAGGAGGGGGAGGAGGAGGAGGGGGAGGAGAAGGAGGAGGAGGAGAAGGAGGAGGAGGAGGAAAAGAAAGAGGAAAAGAAGGAGGAAAAGGAGGAGGAGGAGGAGCAGAAGGTGACCAGGAATCGGACCCAATGAGTTCGCAACATTGGCGAACAGGGATTCAGACACTTCCAAACTACCAGAATTGTTCAAACATTTTAGAAACGTTCAAAAAACTTCGGACAGCCTGAGAATTTCAAAAAGCCATTGCAAAGAACAGGTGCCGGGGAATCCGAAACCGAGGCAACAAGGAACCCCGAAAACACCGGAAACCACCAGCAATTTGATTTGTTGATTTTCAAAAGATTTCAAACATTACCGATTGAACGTTTCAATCATTTCAGAATTTTCAACGTATTCAGGGGCTGGGGAATCCGAAACCCAGGAAACCAGGAATCCCGAAATCTCCCAACCACCAGAAATTTGGCAATTCCCTCCAAAAAAGAAGTCAAAGATTTGTTTACAGGAATTTTCGTAAACAAATTTCAAATAATCAAATTTCCATAGTTTCCAGGTGCCAGGGAATCCGAAACCCAGGCAACCAGGAATCCCGATAACTCCAAACCACCAGAAATTTGAAATTCCCCCCCCAGAAAAAAGTAAGCATGAATTTCAAAGCCGATTGAAAATTCTGAAACCCAGACAGGCAGGAATTCCGAAAATTCCAAACCACTAGGAATGCGACATTTCCGAACGTTTGAAAAGTCCAAAGACTCCAAACCTACGGACAATCCCATTATATATGTGTGTATATTTATAGATATGCATAGATACATATATACACATATATATATATGTATATATATATATATACCTACCTACCTACCTACCTACCTACCTACCTACCTACCTACCTACCTACCTACCTACCTACCTACCTACCTACCTACATACACACATACATACATACATACATACATGCATGCATGCATACATACATACATACATACATACATACATACATATACATACCTACATACATCCATACATACATACATACATACATACATATACATATACATATATATATATACATATACATGTACATGTACATGTACATGTACATGTACATATACACATATATATATATATATATCAGTTTCCAGGGGCTGGAAAATCCGAAACCCAGGCAGACAGGACAATTCGCAACCATCTGGAAATTTCAAAATATCATTTCGAATTTACAAAACGTTGAGAGCTTTCAAGAGCCAGAGAATCCGACACCGAGGCGACCAGGAATCCCGAACACCGTGTTAGGCAGAAAATGACAGTGAACAGGGTGGGAGCTGAGGACAAGGAGGAGGAGGACGGGTCGGGGCGGTGCGACGCCGTGTCCCCACCCCCTGTCCGGTATGTTATGGTCGCCCATTCCCCCCTCTCCCCCCCCCCTTGGAGTAGATCTTGGCTGTTTTTGGCACTGGCCTGTTGCAAGCAGGTGGAGTCTCCCCCATAGGACGCACTGATGCAAACAGTTGCGTTAAGCAGATGTCTGGAGCCATACCCTTCCCCCCCTTCCGCCCAATGCCGAAAGGGCGAATCAGAAAACGTTCGCGTACTCAGGGCGGATGTGCTTCTTCACCCGAAGCACGTCGTGCCAGTACGTCCTTCTTCGTCCCACGGCTCCCTCCGCACGCGTGGGTAGCAAAAGGTCGTCGGCGCTTCACTTTGTACAGAGGGGCAGGCTGCCTCGCGGCGCCTCTTGAGGCTCCAGGGTCTTCTCTGGTCCGCTCGTTCGGTGTCCGGCGCTGTGCTCTCCGTGCCTGTTTGGGCGCCGCGTAATGGGGGGGTCATAAATGGGGGGGTGGCGAGGGTGGTTCGAAAAGGTACCCAAACGGTACCTAAACGAGCCCCCCTGGGGCTCTGGAGGGGCCCGAAAGGGGCACGAAAGGGGACCTTGTCTGACCCCCCCATTTGTGACCCCCCCATTAAGCCACGCCCAACCTGTGGTTTGACGCTTCCGTGCCAAGGGGGAAGGGGGGGGAGTGTGAGCGGGGGCAGGCCTGCTCAGCATGCGGCGGGGCTAGGGCTCCTCGCGAGGCGGGAGGCACTGCCGAGCCTGCTGCGGAGGCCCGCCCCCCTGGCGGCCTTCCCCCCCCTCGGCGCGCCGCCGGGTCTGCCCCCTGGCACTCGTCCTCTGCCGCTCCTCTGCCTGGGCATGGCGTTGCTCATCTGTCAGGAGGGAAGAAAAAACACACAGACACAATGAATCGCCGATGCCCCTGAAGATATAGGAAAATATGGGAAGGGAGGGGGAAACAAGCCCAGACAACATGGGGAAATATGGCGAAAGCCTTTTCTTCGTATCTATTTGTTTGTGTGTCCCTGGGCCCCTTCGATCTGCCGTGCTTCCTCCGGGCGCCCCTGGCCCGCGCAGGAGGACATTCCTCTGCCTGCCGGCCTCGTGCTGGAGAACACCTTTACGTCCATGCGAGATATGGCGACGCAGGCCAGAGCGTGCGCCTTCTCGCGGCGACAGCTGTCCCATCCCCTCGCCCTGTGCCAATTCGCCCTGCTCCTGTTGCTGCGGGCGGCCCGGAGTAGCAGGTCGACCCTGCCAGCTCAAGGGTGTCCTTGTGTCCTGTGCCTCGCGGCGCGTGCCCTCTTCCACTCCTGTGGCGATGTGGCCCTCGGAAGGATCTTGTGTCCTCTCGCGTGTCCTGTCCAATCAAGGCCGACTGTATTGTCCCTGTACCTCCTCCGCTGCATCGTCTTTTTGGTGTTGTTGAGCCCACAGATAGGGAGTCACGGCGGGCCCCCGCCTTGGGAGGAAGCTCGCACGGAGACTCTTTAATCGGTGGGATGCTCGGGATGCGGCTTCGACGAGGGTCGGTACCGATCGCTGCAGCGTTTCTCAGGGGCACCTCGGCGTCCCTTTGGGGGTGGGGGCAGGCGGTCTCGGACGCAAAGTGGCAGGCTGGGGGGGGGGTCCGTGGGCCACGAGGTGCGTGAGGGTCGTGCCGAAGCGAAGCGCTCCGGAGCCGTTTGGACGATAAGCTAAAGTCGGGCCTGTCCCCCTACAGGGGGATTTATTTTCGACGAAAAAGAAAGAATACCCCCAAAAAAGTCCAAACATAGTCGGGGGATTATTTTTCTAGTATTTTTTGACATTTTTGGAGTATGTTTGGGGTATTTTTTATTTTTCGTCGAAAATCCCCCTGTAGGGGGACAGGCCCGACATAACGATAAGCTGATGGCCCCTTGGAGTCCACTAGTCACGACGTGCGTGAGGGGCGTGCCGAGATCCCTTCGGCCCTCTTGAGGGCCAGCTGGTCGCCTCGGGAGGCCCATAGGGCACGAACCGCGCGAGCGGTGCCGAACTGAGGTCCCAAGGAGCTGTCTCAGGGCGCCAGGTGAGTTCCCAGGATGTAAGAAGTGCGTGAGGGGTGTGCCGAAACTGAAGCTCTCAGGGCAACAGGCAGGAACTCCACTCAGGATTGCAGGTCTCCCGGGAGCCTCGAGGCGCAGATCACTAGTGTTCCTACGTACCCCAGGAGCCCGGGCGTGAAGATCACTCGTAATTTGCTGTCTGAGGTGTCAAACGATGAGCAGGCAGGCCCGGATGCCTTGCGGACGACGCGAGGCCGTTCCCAGCATGCATTCGTGTGTGCACCTCGGTCTCCTCCAGCATCCTCCGCCATCGCTCGGGGAGATTGCATTTTTTCCCGGCGAGGACCATCGAGGAGCATCCTGGTCTATCTCGCGGGCAAAAAAAAACCCACGAGGCCGAAGCAGCTGCACGGGGGACGGACGTCCGAGCGGTGGCAGGAGCTCGGCAGCTCCTGCAGGAGCGGAGCGCGGCGAGGGTTCGCAGGGGGGCCGCCGAACACGTCTTAACCTAACCCTTTATTTAATCGCTTCGCTCATTCCGCCGGCCCATATTGTCGCACCGTTGTGGGCTAGCCGAGTTTTGGGGCCTCTTGGGGGCCGTTTTGGGGCCTCTTGGGGCCTCTTTTGGGTCTCTTGAGCGCCTCTTGGGGCGTCTTGGGGGCCTCTTGGGGCCTTTTTGGACCCAACCCTTTATTCCACTGCATTCTCCTCCACATCCCTGAGCAGTGCAACTCGTCTGGGCATAGTTTCTGGATGGGGTCGTGGGGGTGCCGCGGAGCGTCTAGCATGTGTTGCCTGTGGGAGCCAGAGGCGCACATACACATAATTACAGAGGAATGCATTTTTTTCTCGGCGAGGACCATCGAGGAGCATCCTGGTCTAGCTCGCGGGCAAAAATTCCTCGCGAAGCCGAAGCAGCTGCACGGGGGACGGACGTCCGAGCGGTGGCAGGAGCTGCGCAGCTCCTGCAGGAGCGGAGCGCGGCGAGGGTTCGCAGGGGGGCCCGCCGAACACGTCTGAACCCAACCCTTTATTGGGCTGAGCGATAAATCCGCGCGCCCATGACAGCGCAACCATCTCATAGCAGAGCGCTACCGTTAAAAACAAAGCCCGCGTACCAAAATGGACACGGGAGGGCGAAAAACAAAAAAAACCTCCACATCCCTGAGCAGTGCAACTCGTCTGGGCATAGTTTCTGGATGGGGTCGTGAGGGTGCCGCGGAGCGTCTAGCATGGGTTGCCTGCGGGAACCAGAGGCGCACATAATTGCAGAGGACGCCCTTACACACTTCAATGCGCAACCACTGAGGGAGGCTCTCGGGGCGCAAGGGACGGGGGTCGATGCAAGCAGGGGCAGCCAGGGCGCCAGATCCCTGGCAGAGTCTTGCAGGGCCGGGCGTGCATGGACCCGGGCTGCGCGTGCAGGATCCTGCGGGGGCCTGCGGGGTCCTGCAAGACTAGGCAGGGTCTTTCAGGAGGGACACAAAGCACACAGACACAATTAATCCTCGATTCCTAAGAAAATATAGGAAAATATGGGAAGTGGGGGGGAAGACAGAAACCCAGACCATATGGGAAAATATGGGGAATCTGTTTTTTGTGTGTGCGTTTATTTGTGTGTCCCGGGGCCCCTTCAGCAGGGTCTTGCAAGGCCCGACTGGCCCCAGTTTGGATTGACCCGGGCTGGTACAGTGGAGACCCATGCCAAGAAGCACCTTGCTTGCCTCCAGGGTGCCCTCGGCTTCTTGGGTTTCGATGGTGCTGCTCTGGGGAGCGTGACGTTCCCACACCAGAACTCAGTGGGCGCCCTGGGGTCTGAGGGTTGGGTTTCTCGTGGAAGGCCTCACGTGGTCGAGCTCCTGCAGCAGATGCCCGAAGCTCGCGCAGTTCGCCCGAGGGCCTGGCGTCCCATGGTAGGGCGCGCGGCCTCGGGAGCCAGCAGAGGGCCTCTGGGGGGCCCACGGGGCACGCAGTGCGCGAGCGGTGTGCCGAATCGGAGCTCCATCGCACCGCCCGAGGGGCCACTTCAGGGCACGTGGGAGTCCAACGGGCGCGAAGTGCGCGAGGGGCGTGCCGAGCTGAGGCTCCGTTCCGCCGTCTCGAGGGCCTCCAGGGAGATCCATGAAGTGCTAGAGGTGTGTGTGTGTGCGCCAAATTTAGGTTGCCAGGAGAGTTGAGCTGCGAATTCAGCCTCGTCTTCAATGACCGCTTCTCCGACTTCGGATTTCATCTCTCCGACTCCGACTTCCATCTCCGACTCAAGATCTTACCTCCTCGATCCCAGCTACCCTGGTCGCCGCTTCGACTCCATCTCCCATGCCACGGACACCGACTTCTGCCCCACGCGACCACACGCGGCACCGACATCGATCCACGAGTGACCACACGCTGGCGCCCCAGCGCCCACCCGCTGCGCCCCCGCGGGTGCCTCGTGCGGGCCGTCCTGTCTCGTCCTGCCCCGCGCGTCCTGCGTGCGCAGGAGGGGGCCCGGCGGCGCCGGAGACGCGTAAAGGGTGTGCCGAATGGAGCCGAATGCGTGTCCTCGGGGCCGCGGACCACACGCACCTCCTCCTCCTCCTCCTCCTCCTCCTCCTCCTCCTCCTCCTCCTCCTCCTCCTCCTCCTCCTCCTCCTCCTCCTCCTCCTCCTCCTCCTCCTCGCGCGTCCAGGCCGGCGGAATGCCCGAGGTCGCTCTCGGTCAAAGGGTTGCCAAAGGTGCCCCATGGCCCAGGCGGTGCCCCCCGCTTTGGGCCCCCCGGGTGCCCATCGGGGCTTTTCGCGAGGGGCGCTCGGGAGGCCGTGTGGGCCCCCTGCGGGAGTCCTGGGGGCCGCCTTGGGCCAAGGGTACTTCTAGCAGCACTCGACGTAGTACACCTTAGGCGATGCTTAAGAAAACTTAAGTTTTCGGCCAGAGTCTCGATTATTCCTAATGTTTCAATGTAAATCCTAAGATTTGAATGGACATGTTGGGTTTTTATTCAAGTTCTGAGACTATGAATTTCTGAACCCATGATTTCTTAAGCATTTCGCAGGGTGTACAGTCAGAAGGCACAAGGCACTGGCGGACGGGGCAGAAGGCACAAGGCAATGGAACCTCAGAAATCGCTGATGGAGGGCCGGGCGTTTCGCCAATCGGCTGGCGGGGATCGAGCCGGAAGAGTCCAGGCAGATCCAGATGGAGTCAACCCGCATAGTAAGGATGGGCAACCTTCCCAAGGCTACCCCTTGCATCCTGGCCTCCTCGGCCCATCCCTGGCCGCTCTTTCGCTGGCCGCGCCCCGCACCGAGAGCGTCGACGTGGCCTTCCAAAGCCCTCGCATCCTTACCGCGCATCCTTACTATGCGGGTTGATTGTATGTCTGCGTGCATCTCTCAGGAGGGCAAAAAACACACAGACACAATGCATCGTCGATTCCCCAGAAAATATGGGAAAATATGGGAAGAGGGGGGGAAGACAGAAACCCAGAAAACATGGAAACATATAGGGGAGTCCTTTTATTTGTGTGTATCTATTTGTGCGTCCCAGGGCCCCTTCGATCTCACCCTCCTCCCGCATCCTCCATCTCAGCAGCTACCTTCAAAGGTTCACACGGCCGGGGCCCCCGCACGGGGCCGGCCGACGTCCACCGCGCGTCGCTCGCTCCGCCAGCCCACGTCGCGGCATCGCTGGCACGTGCCTCGCGCGCCCGCGCGGGCATCCCTGGGGCTTCCCGGGGCCCCTCGGCGGCCTCGGGGGGCCTCGTGGGGCCTTGGGGGAGGGTCTGGGGGGCCTCGTGGGGCCTCTTGGGGGAGGGTCCAGGTGGCCTCGGGGGGATTCTCGAGGGCCTCGGGGAGGTCTGCTCGCAGCCTCTCGGAGGTGATCTGTGGGGGGAGGGCCCGAGACATCAGTTCGGGCTCCCCCCCTCTTGGGAGCCTCTTGATCATCTTGGGGGGAAGGGCTCGAAGTATCAGTTCGGGCTCCCCCTCTTGGGAGCCTCTTGAGCTATCTTGGGATTGGCCTCTTGGCGCCCTTCTCTTGTTGGCCGTCCTGGGGCCCGTTCTGGGGGGCCCCCGTGGGGCGTCTTGGGGGGCCTCGTGGGCAGTTTTGGAGCGCTCGAAGCCCCCAAAAAGGGTGAGAACACGAGAATCTCTCAAACCCAAAGGAGGAGGAGGAGGAGGAGGAGGAGGAGGAGGAGGAGGAGGAGGAGGAGTCATGGGCCCTCCCGGGGGTCCTCTTGGGGCGCCCCTGAGGCGTTTTGGACACCTCTTTGGACGACTGAGAGCGCTCCTGGACCGTGCCGGATTTTCTTGGGTGCTCTGGCAGGCCCCAGGAAGCGCTCTCGGTGGCCGTGAAGGCCGCTCCCAAGGCGACAACTAACTCTGAACCGAGTCGGGCGGGAGACGCGCGAGGTCAGTCTCGGGGTACCTTTCACCCAGGGACCCCCAGGTGGCCGCCACTCGCGCGCGCGTGCTAAAACTTGTCTGAGCCTCTTACCAGAGATTTGAGCATGCCTTTGGCTCGTTGGGCCAGCTCCGTCCTGCTCCCCATGGTCTGGGGCTCAAGAGGCGGGGGTCACTGCAAACGGGGGTCAGTCAGAGCGCTGGATCTTGCAGGATCCTGCGAGGCCAGGGTCGCATTGACCCGGGCTTGGGTCAAGATCCCGCAGGATCTTGCAGGATCCTGCAACACCTGACTAACCCAGGTCTGGATTGACCAGGTCAGTAGATCCCAGAATGGTCCCTCCTCCTCCTCGCTATTCTCCCTTTCACCTCCGCGCGGCCCGTCTGTCAACATACAGTCAGGATGATGCGGTAACCACTTTGGGTTCAGGAGCGGGCTCTGGCTCTCGTGCCGCTTCGTAGGTCTAGGTCGTGGAGCGCACGCGTGGCCGAGGCTCACCCGGGGGAGAAAAAACAGCTCCTCGTCCCTCATTCTGCGTAGTCTTGGCATCGCTCGGACGTGTGCATGTGTTCTTCGGCGAGGACCATCGAGGAGCATCCTTGATCATTTGGCGAAAACCCACGCACGAAACCGAACAAAAACACAGGGAATGAACGTCCGAGCGATGGCCAGTAGTAGCTTGTGGTACAGTCGGACCGAGGTATAAGATCGAGGTCGGTTCGGGGAGGGTACTCTAGTGCTCTTCGTGTCTGTTGGATGTTTTGGTGCATCCTGGGGAGGGTACCATGAGGTGGCAGAACCGGCCCGTCACGGGACGGTCTCGCAATCCGAGCGTTGCCCATCGTTCAAGGTTGAACGATCCACGCGGTGTCACGCCGACGCCGCCACGACACGGGTTTCTGCCGTTTGTTTTTTTGTTTTGGCGGCCTGAGTGGTTCGACTACACGTATGTGTGTCCCTTCGGCCCAGTGACCATTGGTGCGGGCTCAAGGGACCCCCCCCATCTTTGAGCGCGATGCGATTGTGGCTGCTTGCGCGGTTAGATTTGGCCACCTGGCGCCCCTCTAGTCCGCGCACGAAAGGTCACTCGTGCCTAGGGTCACTCTTGCGTGTGCAGTGAAAGCCCATGCCAAGAAACGCCCTGCTCGCCTCCAGGGTGCCCTGTGTTTCTTGGGTTTGGACGCTCTTGCGATGGAAAGCGTGAGAGGCTCCCGCAAAATCAATTGACGTCCTGGGGTCTCAGGGTTGGGTGTCTTGTGGAAGGTCTCGTGTGGTCGAGCTCCCGCTGTGGCCGAGAGGTGTTCCCGCCCCTGAAGTTCGCGGGCCCGCTCCTCCGCTGGCCGCTGCTCCTCGACGAGTGGAGGTCCGCCGAGAGCCTGCGGTACTTCTGCCAGAACCACACGGAGACGCGGCGTGGCCAGGGGCAACGGTGCGGTCCACCCGAATAATGAGGATTGGTAACCTTCCCAAGGGCACCCTTGCATCGTTGCTTCGATGGGCCCCACAGAACAGTTGTAAACGATTTCGTTAAAAACACCCCCGAATGTTCAGATCAAGAGATTCCGAAAAGCCAGGAATCACCAAACAAAGAAATGAAATGAATAAGTGACTTTTGGCGCACCGAATGTTCACTGGCCAGAAGCCGGCCGCGCCGTCAACAAAACCATGCCATCTGATTATTTACACTGTTCACTGTTGCAGCCTTCCCAATGGTACCCTTGCATCCTGGCCCCCTTCGGCCCATCCTGTTCGATTGTATGGGGGCTTCGAAGCGTGTGCGGGGCTTGATTGGCTGGGACGCTTGCGGACTACGCCACAAATACTTTCGAGAGCCCCCTTTAGGGGGCGACGAAATGTGCGCGGGCTGCGCGTGCTCAGCCTCCTTTGTTGTCAACTCCGTACCAAACCCCACACCTAGCGTCTTCAAAAAGGCTCTCCTGCCGGTCGCGTTCTCAATAGAATACGGAAGAATTCCTTCGACGAGTCAAACGACAATTTCACGCGAATCGACCCCCAATCGCCCAGCGATCGCCGGTGGGGGCCCGATCGCCCCATCCTGCACAGGAAGGTGCGGATTCACTGTCGGGGGCCCCTCGCCGATCTATCGGGGGCCCATCGCCGATCTATCGGCGATGCATCGCCGATTCCAGGTCGATGCAGCGCAGTTTCTGAGGAGGCTGTGCATTCGGGAAACGGGAAACGAGGTTTTCGCGGACACCCCCAAACGAGTTTATTTTACGTATCAAATCATTGCAAGTTAATCCCCTTATATTGCAATGTCGATGGCCTTCGCCTTCATGTTGGGTCCTTCGCCGTCGGTATTGTTTTCTCGAGCGCAGGCCCAGGGGATAGTTCCGCGCGCTTTTCGCGGACCCCTGTGCCAGCCCCTCCCCCCCTGTCGTTGCCCCTCGCGTGGGCGGCGGCGGGCCTCTCGAGGGCGATCTCCGGGGGGGGCACTGGAGCGGGGGGGGCGGGCGCGGCTGGCGAGGGAGGAAGGGGGGCACCCAGGTTTCGGAGAGAGATAGACGGAGTTACATACTTATATATAGATCGATATAGATATAGAGAGAGAGAGAAAGAGAGAGAGTGAGAGAGAGAAATTAAAACAATATGTGTATATAGATATAGAGAGAGAGAGAGCGCTGTTGGTCTTTTGGCCCCCGGGGGTGTCCCTCGAGGCCGGCCTCTGGGGCCCGTGGTGGGCCCCCGGGAGCAGCCGAAGTACCGTGGGCCCGCCGCGGGCGGCGTGGGCAGCGGCGGTGCCGGGTTCGGTTGCTGTCGGTGGGATCGGTTCGCGGAGGGCGGCAGTGGTTACATCTAGGCCTCCGAGATGGGGCTCGAGCAGAGGGGGCCGGAGAATCACGCCGCATCGTCGATGCGGCTCGATGTGGAGCCCGACTTGCTTCACGTCGACGTCGCCGATGTACCGCCCACGACCGCCCACGTCGACGATGCATCGTCGGTGCATCGCCGATGCATCGCCGATGTATCGGCGATGCGGTGCGATCCTCCGACCCCATCTACTCGGACCCCATCGAGGAGGCCTCTATTACAGGCGGGACGCGCCGCGTGGACACGATGCGCGTTGATCCCGTCATCGATCGTGTGGTTTCTTCAGTGTCGGGCGTCGTCAGCACAACGCACACGAAGGGGTCGTACAGCCAAGACGCCGAAGTGAGGACCTCTCTGGGCTCGGGAGGGGCCCGGGTGCTCGTGCTGCTGTTCCGGCTTATATGCAGCAGGGCCTGCTTTTGTGGCTTGGGCCCACCGTGGTCAGACGAGCCCCTTCGTTCGTACGAGGCGTTTTCAATGGCCGCGCGATGGTTGTGATGATTCGGTCGTCGGACAATCGACTATCTCGCAGGATGAACACTCGGAGGTTGATAGATCTCCTACCCTGACACGTCGATTCAGGAATTGGCCGTTTTCGGTTCGCGAGGGGGCGTCGCGGCCGTCAATTTTGCGGGTCCAGGTCCGTCGGTTTCGGTCCTGGGCCGTTTTCGCTAAAGGGAGGTTTACTAAAGGGAGGTTTATCCACCGCCGATTTTCGCCGCCGGGCGATCGACTATCTCCCAGGACGAACGGCTGCTGCTGGTGACGTGGTCAGGGCGAGCGGGGCCGGCGGCGGGTCTCTCGGGGCCGATCTGCGAGGGCACTCTGGAGGCGAGGGGGCTCCGGCCGCCGAGGGAGGCGGGAGGATCCCCGTCGGTCGTTGGAGGTCAGAGTGAGGGGGAATCGTGAGTGACTGAGATGGGAATCCGTGGTCCGGAGTGTTGCTGCTGTTGTTGCCTTGTTGTTGGTGGTGGTGTTTTGAATTCTCACTACTGAAGAATAATTATTCTTGATCCCCCCCTCCAGTGACCATTGTGTTTTTCAATTGAAGTGCTTCCCCCGGGGCTCGCACCCTGTCTTTTCATAACGGAAAGTCACGGGGCTCAAATTGGGTTGCTGGCCCCCGGGTTACAACACTAACGGCCCCCATTTGAGATTTCCACAATTTAGCCAGGATCCCCGCTCCCGCCTGACATGTCTTCGCATTTTACTCAGGACTCGCGTTTTCGCCTGGGACTTCTTTCGATTTATTCATGGATCGCTCTCTCGGCGCTCTCAAGTCGCGCTCTATCTGGGTACTCGCTTGCAGTTTATGAATCGCGCTCTTGCGTTGGAGCTCCCCGCATTTTTCTCAAGCGCCGCGCTCCCGACACTCAGACAATCAGGAGTCGCGCTCACGCTTAGGACTCCCTCGCAAAGGAATCTTGATCTGGCTGCCCTTCGTGGCCCCGTTGCAGCACTTCGTGGCCCCCTCGCTGCTCTTCGTCAGCCCTTTGTGGCCCTTTCGCTGCCCTTCGTGGACCCGTTCCAGCCCTTCGTGGCCCCCTCGCTGCCCTTCTTGGCCCTTCGTGGCCCCCTCGCTGCTCTTCGTGGCCCCGTTGCAGCCCTTGGTGGCCCCCTCGCGAATCTTTTTGGCCCTGTTGCAGCCCTTTGTGGCCCCCTCGCTGCTTTTCGTGGCCCAGTTGCACCCTTTCGTGGCCCCCTGGCTGCCTTTCGTGGCCCCGTTGCAGCCCTTCGTGGCCCCCTGGCTGCCCTTTTTGGCCCCATACATCCATGCTCTTCGTGGTCCCCGCTCGATCACGTCTGTCGTGGCCCCATATGCATTCCCTTCGTCGACCCGCTGTCACCCTTTGTGGCCCCCCCGCTGCCCTTCGTGGCCCCGTTGCTGCCCTTCGTGGCCCCGCTGTCGCCCTTTGTGGCCCCCTCGCTGTTGGCCCCGTTGCTGCCGTCAGTGGCCCCGTCGTTGTCTTCCGTGGCCCCGCATTATCTGCCCTTCGTGGCCCCCGCTCGTTCGCGCCCTTCGTGGTCCCATACGCATGCACTTCGTGGCCCCGCTGTCGCCCTTTGTGGCCCCCTTCCTGCCCTTCGTGGCCCCGCTGTCGCTCTCGCTCTCGTTTTCGCTTGTCGTCGTCGTCGTCGTCGTGGTCGGTCCCCTGTCCGTCCCTCTTGGCGTCGGGTTGCCGCTGGTCAGCGCTGCCGCTGGCCAGGCCGACGGTCCGCGGCCGCCCCGCCGCTTGCTGGGGCCGGGACTGCAGGGAAGGAAGATCTACCATCCCCAAAAAGGGCACGATCGAAGACGAAGAGGGCGGGTATCTAGGGTTTGGGAAATACACGTTGGATGACACTCGAGCAGATCAGAGCGAACAGCCTTGAACTGATGGTTGTTGCTGCTGTTGTTGTGTTTGTTGTTGTTGTTGTTGTTGTTGTTGATACAGGCGGGGCAGCCCCCCCCGGGGGGGAGATGGGAGGGGGGGGGGGGCGAACAACACAACACAACACAACGCAACCCTATAGGGGGTTTGCGTGTGTCCTCCTCCTTCCCCCCCTCTTCTTCCTCCCTCTCCTCCTCATCATCTTCGTCCCCCTCCTCCTCCCCGTCCTCCTCGTCCTCCTTCTCCTCCGTCCTCCTCTGCCCCCTCCCCCCCCCATCCTCCTCGCCCTCGTCATCATCCTCCTCCCCTTCCTCCTTGCCCTCTTCCTCCTCATCCTCCTCCTTCTTCTTCGTCCTCCACCTCCTGGTCGTCTTCTTCCTCGTCCTCCTCCTCCCCCTCGTCGTCGTCGTCGTCCTCCTCCTCCCGATCCTCCTCGTCCCCCCCGCCATCCTCTTCATTCTTATCATGTGTGCCACGACGGCTACTACTACTACTACTACTACTACTACTACTACTACTACTACTACTACTACTACACTACTACTACTACTACTACTACTACTACTACTACCACTACCACTACCACTACTGCTACTACCACTACCACTACTACCACTACCACTACCACTACCACTACTACTACTACTACTACTACTACTACTACTACTACTACTACTACTACTACTACTACTACTACTACTACTACTACTACTACTACTACTACTACTACTACTACTACTACTACTACTACTACTACTACTACTATTACTACTACTACTACTACTACTACTACTACTACTACTACTACTACTACTACTCCTTCTACGACTACTACTACTACTACTACTCATCTACACTAAGCGACTACTACTACTACTCCTACACTACGACGACTACTACGACGAGACGCCTATTACTACTACTACTACTACAACTACTACTACTACTACTGCTACTACTACAACTACACTACTACTACGACGCTACTAAACTAACTACTACTACTACTGCTACGACTACTACTACTACTACTACTACTACTGCTACTACTACTACTACTACTGACTACACTACTACTACTACTACTACTACTACTACTACTACTACTACTACTACTACTACTACCTACCACTACTACTACTACTACTACTACTACTACTACTACTACTGACTACTACTATACTACTGCTACTACTACG